ATATTTGTGGATAGTAAATTTAAACAAGGTTTCTTTCGGATCCCATTATGTCTATATACAGGGTGATACAAAATTGGCGTATGTACATATATATTGTATGTACATGTAAATAAAGAAATACATGAAAATAATAAGTAAAAACATAGAAATCAAGTTTTGTTATTGCGTCATTTCTTTAATACAAAAACTGCTTTAAAAATTATACTACTAACAGATTAAACTTTTATTTGGGCATTTTCACTGTCTACTTTAGATTATCATGCGCGTTTTGTCAAGAATACCTCGAGCCAATCAAATTTGTTATAAAATTGTACATTTTTTAAATATTTTATAAGCTATAGTTTGTCCAGTTGCAATTACTTGTGAAAAATATAGGTGTGGCGAACCCAAGCAGAATTGCTTGCCGAACTATGGAAGTTTGAAAATAGTTTCATGTGCATTTTAATTAGGTATCATAGTTAACTGATGTGTCGAGTAAAAGAAGCTGATCGATTGCACTTAGTTCTGTATTCCTGACTGGACTTATTTGGTCGATTTTAATATGCCAACCACAAATGGAAATACAATTGCAAGTTGCGTTATTCTTCGCTCTCAACTTTATGATCCTTCGTATTTAGATAGATTTGATTGTTTTCCATCATCAAGGTCTTCATTCGTTACAGCGAGAGAATGTAATCCTCCATAAAGACACCGCAAGTACCATGAAATATGCGGCGTTTCAGAGAATATATTGGCAAGCAGAGGCAAAAAATTAAATCAATCTTCCAATTAAATCTGATACAATTTTAGAAATCTCTCGGGCACGATTGCGGCTTAAATTGTTATAGTCCTTCTTCGAGCTGTAACTGGTTGTGTTGAATTGACGGCAGCGGCCTTGTTGAGATTCCAAATCGGGACCGATTTATTTATCAGACTGTTAACAGCAACCATCCTTTATGTAATTTTAATTAGTGTCTGCCATTATTGCATTGACGCAGTAATTGCTACCCGTTGTAATATTAAGTAGGATCGAAAAGGTAGCCGATAATCGCACCTTTGCGAATCAAAATTTGATCGATGTCGGTCGCATTTAATAGATATATCAATATTTCGTTAAACACGCTACATTTTAAAATTACGCAAACAATAAATATGGGTCCTTGGCATTATACTTTGCGAAACAACATTTTGGTAAATTGCTGGTGGCTGGAACAATTACTACCAGTTTTAAATCAGTATGGAAATGATTGATTTTGTTTAAATGCATTTCTTGATTGATGTTGAACGTTTCAGAGGAGTTTTCTGAAATGTTCCAATTTTTTTGGTTTTATAGGACCAGCATACAAAGCTGCGCGTACAAAATTGAAATCAGGAAATGCTCAATTAGTCGCTTCCTAATATGTATACGAAAATAACTTTAGAATATTATCTTTTTAGACGCAACCATTCACTTTTTTCACATACTAAATGTGTTGTTTATTTGCTGTTCCAATATATACATGGTGCCGCAATCAAAAATTTAAATATATTTTATGTATAGTGTCCGATACGCAAGCCTCACAGTTTTTGAGACGTAAAATTTTAGGTCAAAAATAACATTTACAGTCATAACAATAATAATTAATAATTATTATTTTCTCGTATAAGAGGAGATAAATCCAGAAAGGCTTTCTTTAAGATATTTTTAGTCAAAAAAATGTCAGATCTAATAAAGAAATACCTCGAAAGGAATATAATCAAGGATTTAAAGTTCATTGAGCAACTTAACTGTGTAAAAGCACATGTAACAAGAACAAATCAATGTGAAAGAATTCTGTTGAAGAAATTTTATTTTATATGTTCTCATCAAATCCAGACTTTCAAAAGAGATAGCAAAGAAGAAGACCACTTAAGCGAACATAAGCTTCTATACACAGCCACTCTAACTTTTCATCAATATTCTGGCTAAGAAGGAACCTGCTAAGGAACTAACCCTATCAAATAAAAAAAAACGTAAATATGTTTTTAAGTCAATAGATTTAGTCAACAATTATTTAGCAAATACTGACTTTCAAATTTAATAGTAATTCTATTCTTGTGGGAAAAATCTGAAACCGTCGCAAGCAAATTAAGTGTGAAATGACGGAAATCAATCGTAAATTTCCCTGGCTGCTGCGGAAATTGTATTGCTCATCGTTAAAAAGTAACTGAAAATTAAACAGTCAAATCCCCTGGTTGAAATTCGTTATGCTTATCCAAAAAATGTAAAACATTTTTTAAATTTTTTTAAACTCTTTAAAACAAGTGGTTTGCGTCCTGCTTTCAATTGCTCCTTGCAAACAAAACTTGGTAGTGTTTTGGCATATGACTAGTAACTGACCAATTGAAAAAACAATAAATCCGAACAATTATCAAAAAAACTAATTCACTCGAAATTATTTGTGATGTTTAATGGTGTGTGATGTCAGCTGAATTGCACATACACTTTCTTCACAAAGTGCTTAAAAGTAAGCAAATAAGTAAAATAAAATTCAGCTTGTCCATGGAAAAAATTAGACTTTTCAGCCTATTTAAATTATTCTGTAACCTCTAAATCAGAGCGTATTATCGAATTTGTATAGACAATTTTTGTTATTCGCCCAAAACAATTGCACGCGCTTAAAACGAAATACATTTAATTTATTTTGTATAATTAATTTAGCAACACGAAATTGGTTTAAAATTAGTTTTGTAAAAGTATTTAAAAACTAATTTTCAAGCCGACAGTCTCATCAAAGACTTGCACTGCCTTTGTAATTCCCAA